GAGTGTAAGAGCAGTGCTCTAGTGTCAATACAAATAAACTGTATTCTGATAGGAAAGGAGGATGGACAAGAGATTAACACCACACATGAATGTGTGTAAACTAAATGGCGTATCAGATATGGACACTAAAGAAAGTTACATTGCACATTATTTTGATTTGTTTTTGCATGAGGTAGATTCTTTAGTATTAGGGTATTTATGACTGAGAAAGCAAATATTCTGTAAGCCAGTTAATCAAGAACATTGTGAAAATTATTTTTTGAATAAATAAAAGTGAAAAGGATCACATCACCAGACACTGGCCCCCCTAATAACGATCTCTTCAAGCTGGAAATCCATTGAACTAAAACAAAATACAGCCATCTATAAGGGCTACAAGTGCAAGTCTGAAACCAGCTTCTAAAACAATGCTGGCTGTCAACTGTCAATGGAGTCAGCAGAACAATGGCAATGTACAGTATGTGTGCTATGGCTAACCAGACTTGTGTCTGCAGAAAAGCCATATAATTGGATGTCCCTGTTTCAGAAATCCATGGTATTACTAAGATGTTTAAATTTGTAATTGGATGAGATTTAAGGGAGAAATGAAAAGACAATGAGCCCTGTCAAACCCATCCATTCAGAAAGTCACTTGTCCTGGAGGAGTCTGTGGTAAACAGTGAGCAAGGCAGCACCGGGGAACACATGACTGCTCTTCCCCTTGGATGGGACACCGGTCTGCTGCCGGGAGAGAAAGGGACAGTCCAGGCTAGCCAATCAAGCGTAGCCAGCATGTCAGTGGGGGGTGAGAGCAAACTGGAGCAGCCAGACAAACCCCACGGGGGAGAATATGCAAACAGCCAGGGACTGAACGCAGGAAGAGTGAGCTGTGCGGCCACAGTGCTGACCACCACACCGCTGTGCCCCTTACTTGTCAGAGCTCAAATGTCAAACCTTTCCAATCCGGAATACTTCGCGAGAAAATGTGCGCGTGGTCCTTTCAAGATCTTCTTTCAGAACACAAACACACATCAGCCGTGCTTTCTTAATGTGACAACATGCAAAAAGTTAAAAAGAATTCCTACCCATAGTAAAAGTAGCCTTATCATCACTTAATTAGCACATACATAAATTAGTATTGCTCGTTTTTCATCTTAAGTAAAAGAGAAATGGCACACCATGTGATACTGCTGCTTTTAAAGATAAATTACATCCCCTGTAGGTATAACAAAGCAATGAATGTGGTTTTGTAACTCATCACTTTAAACTGTCTGGCTGAATTTAGCAACATTAGAAACTGTGTATGAACCCACAGCTAATCAAAGCTTTTTGTGTCTTATATGAGATTCACTGTACTAATGAATAAATAAACAAAAATAGACCTGATTGCCATTTGAACAAATGTTTCTAGGAAACTTGAGGATTGTCTGTCTTCATGCAATGAAGGTCAAATAGTTTTAAAGTGCTGTACCAAAATTCCCACCATAGAACTTCAAAACATATCAACCTCAAAAACCACAGAGCTGGCTTAAGCCTTTGACAAGATACAGTACCTTTTTACCATCTTGAGGTGATAGAAATATATCCCTTATATACAGTTTAAATAGATAATGTAATATAATCTAGAAAATTTAGCAAAAAAATTAAAAAATCAAACAAAATGTTAAGATACAGTATATAGTGAAAGTGTAGAATATTTAAAAAACTGGATGTTAAAATTGTATAAGGCACTAAGGCCTCGTTTAGAATACTGTGTGCAATTTTGGTCAACATGGCCGAAACGTTGTGTTCTCTTTCTTCTTTTTTTCAGCATGGAATAAACCTATTACTTGTTCCTTTGCAGCCTACGCATGCTGACGCAGCTACCCACCTGAATGTTATAGATATTGCATTTCTGGATTCCAGATGGATCCAGATACATTCCAGAGTTTAAGGCAACATCCTACATTGACTAGCTGAAGGAATTGAAACATTTTTGCCTTGAACAGACTAGTAGGGCACCTGATACAAATCCACAAAGGCACTAATAAAGTCAAACCAGTGTATTTCTTCAGAATAAAAAGTAAAACATGAACCGGGGGCACCAGCAACAACTACTAAGACTGGAAGTACATTTAAAACCAAGAACAGGAAGCACTCCATTACCCAAAGGGTTATGGAGGTATGGAACAAGTTACACAGTCGTGTTTTAGAAGCTGATACCCTGACATGTTTCATGAAATTCCTGGATGAGATCCTAGGATTAATTACTAACCTAAAAATGGGCTAGATGGCCTGAATGGCCTTCTCTCGTTCTCAAGTTTCTGACAAGAAGGGAGTGACAGCAGCTGTAGTGTCTACCATCATATCAAACACGCTATGAGTAGCAGGGATGTGTCTGTGCCCACCCAGATTAATCTATTGTAGGTATCGGTTCGTGCTGCAGGAGAAGGGCAGTTTAAACACAGCCAGTCCTTTCAACCACAGGGAAGTTGTCAATTGGGCAGATGTTTATGGTTATTTAAAAGTGTTTCTGCGGTTTTAGAAATTTAGCACATTCTGCATTCACACTCTGACCTTAATGTTGAAATTCAGGAAATGTAAATACAATTTATATATTTAATAGAAATGCAGTTCATGATTTAGCTGTGTTCCCCATTCTTGGGACTGATTTTTAGTTTTGTGTATTTCTATTACTATTGGGACAGGACATAATGTTAAATGGACTAAAACTCAGCTGCATGCTCTATTTATATTTATATTATACAGTATAATAATAATATCATATATTCCATTTTATTAAATGCACCCATTAGGTGAAAAAGTGAGAAATTACTCCGTCAGGTGGAAATTAAGTAGGAGGTCAGACTGTGCAAGCCCAGAGTGGAATTTAGCCTTGACACCAGGGTTATTGTAATGATCAAGTAATTAGTAATCTAATTACAGCACAGTGTCTCCATACTGTGCCATTTGTTTTAGAAATTCAGAACCAGGTAGAAAAATCCTATCTCCTCGTCCACCAACTTCACTTACACAGCAAGTTGCTTTTCTCCCATCCCAGGACTCATGTGGCTCAGTCTTACCCAGCTTCGGAGATCTGACAAGATCTGGCTACAAGGTAGTAATGCTGCTGTCAGACTACACTTCTGTAACTGCTAATTTAAAATGCATTGAGTTCAAAAAGCAAATGTCCTAGCATTACTTGTGTGGCTAAATACACTAAACCACACTGTAAAAGTTTTGGACTGAAAAGTACTTGTGATTATGCGATCTATGATGGAAAACACTGTCTGTGGCACAGTGTATCTTCGAAAAGAAAATCAGACAAAATATGAGCTGAAGGCTGGAAAGTTGGAATGGTAACTTGGTTAAAAAAAGTTCATATTTTTAAGCTTATATTGCAGACGGTGATTTGAAATTATACTGTACAAATAAATTACTGTCATAATTTCCAAACTGCGCAAACATAGTAAACATGGCGTGCTTCAGAATGCTGATTTATAGATGCTGTTCAGAGAGCTAATTGCAACACACAACTATCAATCACTGTCTTTGAAGGGATTTTCAACATATTCAGTAAACAAATCAAGAACCTCTTTTCAGAAAATAATGTTTCTCCGCATTTGTAATCGTAATTCCTAAATTGTGTAGTGTACCTCTTAGTCTAAATCCCCAAATAAATCAATCCAAGCAGTTTCACAGTATTCAATTTATGTATTGAAGTTCGTGTTTGTGGAGATAAGGGGGTGTAAAAACAAATCCTTAAAAATGAGACTAAAATGTTGAGTGATCTATAATTTTTTACTTAAGGTGCAGTAAAATTAAGATAATGGGAATTTCTGAAAATTATCTACAGTGTATCTGAAATATTTTATCTTGATTAGACATGGTGTGAATGTGCGATTATTATCTATGAAAAATGTACTCTGCATTCTTAGAACAGATAAAATATTCTATTATAGCCCAACTTATCTTGTGTAAAAAGTGCATGTAACATCTACTTCATATAGGAAAGTAATTGGCATTTGTTCTCTCACACTGTCAATGAATAGTATGCCTCCTAATGGACTTTATGTGAAGCAGCAAGGCTTTTAAGGTGGAAAACAGTGACGAGCTTAAAGCAGTTACAAAGCAAAGATCAAATGCTTTTTTAAAACTTGTCTAAAAGCTATATTTTAAAAAAATCCCTTACAAAATACATGCTAAACAACAAATAATCTAAATAATATAATTTGAAATATTTTAAAATACTCACATCTAAAGAATAATGTGTATAATATTGTGAAATTATATAGCTTTATCATGTAAATTCAAAGACAAAAATTAAAAGTAAAATTACAGTGACATTTCCTTTTACAGAGTATTTCCTTGTTATATGTATGTCAAAATGTATGAAATTGCATTCACGACAAACACTTTTCAGAAAGTATGATTATAATTATTAGTAAAAGAGCAGTGGTAGTAGCAGTAAGTGCTGTAGCAGTGGCAGTAAAGTAGCAGTAGCTGTAGAAATAGCATTACTGTATCCTGCTCCTTATCTTGCAATAAATCACTACACACCGAATTAGCAGATACAGTACCAACAACAATAACCCAACGGGATCTGTAGCATTATAAGCCAGTAGGCCGCAAGTCAGAAGCGTGATGGATGGGCTGTGGGATATAACATCTGCTCAGCACCACTGCAGCCTGTCTGTCTGTGCTGGGTCTGCTCGTCACAGCTGGGGGACCAGTGGTCAGGGAGTTCACGTGCCGCGACAGTTACCACATGCTCCAGCAGAATAACGCCATTAAAGAAAATGCACAAGGCTACAGCACAACCACCTGCAGCAGGGCCTGAAAAAATCCACACCTTATTCAGTTCAAAACCACTGCCCTTTTGTTTCACAAGAAACCCTTCTAAATACATTCCTACAGTCTGCAGGCTTGCGCTTCACAGAATAAATGGTGGAGACAGAGGCCTGTGTCCTTCCCTCACTGTTGCCTCCTTTCTAGGCTGCGTCAGAAGGAAAGCTGCTGGAATGAAAAGGAGGCATACTTACTTATTGCCTCCACAAACGGCTCAAAGAAGCGGTATGGGAACAGAGGCTCTGGCAGCTCTCGGAAAAACATCTTGAGCGCTCCGGTGACAACGTGGATGTCCTCCCACTGGCTGTCGTCCAAATTCAGCTTCTCTTCTGGGAAAACACGAGGAGAAATGGAACAACTGGTTTTAATGAAACAATTACAAGACACTAATTATTATGTTAATGTTTGCCTACTATCATCAGCAACCGTTAACAGCCTTCTGCACCTAGAGGTTTAGCGCAGTGTGTTTTTTTTCAGGAAGGGGAACATTTTTCAATAGAATGCCATCTGTAGGAATGTGCCTAACTAAATATAAAAGAGACACAAAGAGCTCCTGCCATTGACACAGGATGTCAGGTACATTAATTCCCATAATGCACCAGTAAAGAAATTATCGTCAGGGCAGAAAGTGATTCAAAGCTATTAGTTTTAGAGGCTAAGGGGGGTGGTGCGAGGCACAGCCGGCTCAAGAGACAGGCCTTGAGGCCTTGCAGAGCCAACATGAGGCATATGCTAAACATGGCTATTGAAAATGAGCTATTACTTTACACATGTTATCCTTGCATGTACAGGAAATAATGGATAATTATGGCTTTTTGTTAGATTGTAGTGACAAACACTTATACAAGACACAAAAACGAGAAAATAAACTTTATTGAATAAAAGCATGAGATTAACTAAAAGATTCAAACACTGGTTTAATCTGAAATGCTTCAATGTTTTTATATACGTTGCTTTGCTGTAAGGAGAGACATGTGAATGAAACACATTCAATGTAATCAAAGACATCAAACATGACAAAATTCATCTAGGACTCATGACAGCAGACAGAGGTCTTTTCCATACTAGAACAAACTGTTCACCTGTGAGTCATTCTACAGTTGAGACGCTTTAGTAATATTGTTTATATTTTCTTTTACCACCATATTTCATAACTGAAGTAAATAATGCAGTTCAGTGCTTCAGAGCACAATCATCTGATGTGCAGCTACTCCAGCAGTAGTGCACATTGCTTTGCTCTGATAGCGTAGGCTTTGTGTGCAGGCAGAAGAACAGGCCACACTGGGGACAGCAATCAACCATTTCAGTAAAACAGTGTTTGAACTATTATGTGTTTCTCTCCCAAGAAAGCTTTTGCAATGCTGCTATATTAGACAGACCCCTGTTGGTGTGCATAGGTTTTGCAAAACAAGTGTTCAAATTTTTGGGAAGATAAGACACAAAGTGGGCACAAGTACCCTATTTGGACAAAAGGCGAACTATTTTTTGAAGGTTAAAATGTTCATTAAAAAATAAGCATTTTAATACATGTGATGGATGTAATAGGAAATGGAATGTCTTCTTTTTATCTTAAATTTCTTAAGACCCAAAGAAAACAATTAAACTAATTCATTTTAAAATATGACCACAATTTTTAAGATGGTAATACAGAAAACAGTTATTAAGTCATAAATAAGTGTGCTAAATAGGGTTTAAATGTGCATTTTACTGACTGGAAATCAACAAGTTATTGACAGACAAAATATTCAGATTTTTTTTTTGTTTTTAAGGATTGTTCATAAAAAACTGTTCTGTTTAGGCGTCTTAGAAACAAGGTATTGCTAGGTAAATTTGCATGTGGTACTGAGGAGATTGTTTACATTCCCAGATATTAAAATGCATGAGCATTCCCATAAAGAAAGTCCCAAAGGGTCAACAGGGGTTTTTCATATCTGACAGAGAAAGAAGAATCTTTTTAAAATACTGTATACTGTATGTATGGTGATTTGCATCTTTTCTGAAGTACAGTATATATAGTGTATATACTGTATATGGAATTTCTTTGTTTATTACCATCTTAGATTTTAGATGAGACTACTATCACATTCAACCCAGGTTTCTTCAGTTTGCTGTTGTTTAATGTTGTTATCTCAAGCTTCTTTCAACTGCATTAATGGCTACCCTACTTTAGAGCCAACATATATTAGAAACTAGAAACTGGTTCCACATAAGGGAGATTGGAGTTTGGCTGGAGGAAGATTTGATATTTGAATAAATTTGCCTTTACAGTTTGTCATTAACATTTCCTTTGGTTTGAAATTATTTGCTTCAAATTTCTGCCAAACATTTTCAAAGAAGTGACGACATATATTCATGATGTTACAAAACATGTATCATTTTTTAAAAAGATAATATTTCAAAAGCAAAAGCATGACCTATTTAGTCACATCTGTCCTAAAAAATTAAATCCGAATGACACTGCCCACAGCTTTCTAGACAGTACTTTTCTGTAAAGGACATGAAACTTGTTGGTCATGTGAAGATGATATCATCAGTTTCATTGCTTTCTCCAAAGGCAGCATCATTTCTGCATTTTCAACATCAACTGCTGTAATTCACATCATAAGACATTCCCTTAATCCAATAACATATCCTTAACTTTAAAATAGCCCCCCAGTTTGTAAAACTGAGATGGTAAGATCCACACATACAACACGCTATGCCTCCAGATTTTTTATAATCAGGAAGTAAAAGGAATTCCACAGGGGAAAAAAGTACACACAGTAGAGAAAAGCATCTTTCACTGAAAACTGTGCTATGGTTGTTCCTTTTTCCTTTGTTCCTTTGAAAACGCTGTCCTGAGTTAATCTCTCAAAAAAATGTTACAAGTAATGGAAATAAAATGGCATTCTGGAAAGAGTTTTATTTGTCTGCATCAAAATGCTTCAGTCAGTTTGACTGAAAATACTTTACGAATATCCCTTAATTTCATTACATGGTATTTATGTGGACTGATTTCATCCTAAAGAGCCAGCTTTGAACACGCAGCACCAAACAGGGGCCCAACGCAGCACTGCTGTCGTTTTCAAAGAAAGAGCGGTTTTCATACCAGTGAAGTCTGTCAAATATTTTGATATGTCCTGCTCACCATGACACTGCTCCTCCTGTGTTTCCCCTTTACAAACAATTGAGTTTCTTCTTGATCAAATCACTTTCCTCCCAGCCTCCTACCAAACTTTTCATAATGGCCCATCACTGTCTACAGCTGGTATCCTTCCCATGCTAATCCTTCCTGATGCGGCTTTCAAAGCAAAGATGCAGCTACACCATTACTGTGGGCATCAGGTTCCCATACTACAGAACAGCAAGACACTGGCTTGCATCTAGCATCTATCACTGATAACCTAGACAACTCCTAAAACTAACTCGCCTCTGAAATCCACGGCCTGTAAAACTGTCACAGGAGACATGATCGTCATCTTCATGTGAATGCAAACCACACCAAGCACATCTGATTCAAAGCTGATCATGTTTTCAGCGAGTCGGAAAAAGCCTTTAGTGAACTGTGATAGTTGATATACTGATGCATGTACTTCTCAGATTCTGTCACAATTAATTCTGATGCACTGAGATTTAGTTCTGGACTGTATTTATACTGCAGAAATAGGAGACATTCCAGGACTCTACACGGTGCTTCCCTTGTACATACTGTATATGTATGTACTGGATGTGTGGACAATGTCCTATACCATTGGTTCATAAAAGTGTCGCCTCTACAATAAACTTATAAAATATTGCTTAAAATGTTATTGTGTGCAGACGGGCTGTGCAGACAGTTCATTTTACTTATCTATTTAAGATAGATTGCTATTATTTCAATTGTAAAAGTTTTGATGAAAATTTGAATCTTCATTTGTAAAACGCAAAGAATTATCTGTACTACTACTCAAGTATTACAATTTCCATTTCCTTGATACCTGAACATGCAGAACTAAAACTGCCATAAAAAAATTAAAGAGTTCACTGGACAATGAAAAGTAAATTTTGAACAACTGAAATTACATTTCCTTTTATCACAGTTTCACTAGAGATTAGAGCTAAATACTGTAGCTTGAAAAAAGTTTTCTAAAGAAAATGCAAAGGTATGATTTAGCTCACATTACACATATTTCCAGCACTTCTGTGCATTATCAAGGCCCTAGAATATGAGTACATAACTTTATTATTTATATAACAGTTATTACAAGATTAAATTAATATTTAAAGAAAATGCAAATATTTTCTTGAATATTTTTTAGAGCTAAATATTAGGGAAGTAAAATAGATGAAAGCAAGGAGATTTGTCTCACTGCTTCAGCCCTGCTCCGTGATACAATGAGCAACCAGCCGTTCAATTAGTTTGCGATCTAAGACTGATACTTGACAGGTCCTACTAATTGTTAATCCAGCGATAACTGTTGCTTCGTATAATTAATCATATTCAACTCCCAAACAAAGGCCCAGTTGGGCAACCTGCCGTTTTGGAATGCTCATTGAGCACAGTTCCCCTGAAAAAAGTAGTTATAACCTCATTTCAATAAACATTTTCAATATACACTGCTAATCTTTGAGTTCAAAATGCATTTAATCTTCATTTAGCCTATCTACCTTGATGGTTTAAAAATTAGATTGCATAACTTGTCCCCATTTTTACTGCATGAATAATAGAAATCCCATGGCTGAGGTCTCTCATGTTAATTTAGCATTCCATGAAATTCAGAGAAGCAGGTCCAGGGTCAAGTATCATTCATCATTAGATAGAGTGGCATTTTCTCCACTTCATAAAGCAGCTGGTGGAATAGAAAGAGAAAAAGGTATTCTTTGAAAGAACAGAGAACAGAGCACAATTCAGACTCTCAGAGGAGAGGGAGAAAGAATTAAAAACAAGGTGCCACTATGTCAGAATTGTAATGCGTGCAAATTCAGTGATGTCATTCCCTCCTGACCTCAGAAGTCACAAGCCTGCCGCATTCTTGAAGCTGTAACACTGGAACAAGGCAGCCCCGCCTTTCGGAGAAATGAATTACTTAGCCATGACCCATAAGTGAATTTTTGTGCTCTTAAATTATGATTTATATCTGGCTTCTATCCTCTCTTTCAGGGTTTCACTTGCTAACAAGAACATCTCTTGTTCGTTTGGAAAGACCTTCAGGCTAGAATCACTCATAAAGGCCAAATTAGATAATTTCGGAAAGTAGACATGGTCCCGAGATTTTCAAACAAAAGCTAGTTCTGGATTGCCCTTCAGTGACGCTTTTTTTTGGTTGATATTTACTTTTAATTTCTTGGATATTCCATTCAGGGCTGTTCA